GGCAGTGGTGGGAGGATGGGGAGGATGCTGAACAAAGGCTGGAGGAGGAATAGGACCACCAGGGAGAGGTGGTGTATCGGGAGGTCTTCCTCCTTCAGCCCGGCATGTATGTGGTGTCTTTGTGCCCCTCTCAGTCACCATGCTAATGACCTCACCTTGGTGCTTGGTATCTGAGCCTTCCCAGGGTTTCTTTTTAACCTAATTAACGTGCACAGAAATAAATAGGGGCTGTGGAGTGTGAGCAACCTATGTCTTTACTACTGTGGAACTACTCTGTTGTCCTTTTTTTCCTCTTCTGTCCCAGCATGTGTGTTGATAGGATGACTTGGAGTGTATCACCATGCTTGCTGTCACTGTCTTTCCTCAGGGCTGAGAGATAACTCACATAGTTCCCTAAATGCCTCTGGGCAAGGGATCATTCCTGAGCAACAAGGGAAAACTAACCCTGCTAGCTTGTTGCAAAGGTGAAGGTTACCTACCCTCTTTAGAAGACCTCAGTTAAAGCTGTAGTGTTGACAGAGCCAGTATGAAACTATAACCGTATCTGACCCAGTCAGAAATGCCACTGTGCAGTAGTGACCTGCCATGAGGAAAAGGTGAGGTCTGGCTGCAGGAAGCCGTGAGACTGGGACCGCTGAAATCCATGCAAGGACTGTGTATCATGCTTGTACTATCCCATTCTTCTTGTTAGCTGTGCAACTGTTTCCTGAAAACAAACCTTTATTTACTTTTTAAGGAGGAAAGTTTTATAGAGAGACACTTGTCAGCTTAGGACAGGAGACAGGGACAAGTCTGAGGGAAGTACCAAACCTGTTCATCTCACTGGCTGGCTTTTCTAAGATACTTTTCAAAGCAGTGTTTTTGATCTTAATGGATTTAGAGAAGCAAAGCTGGTTGTTGACTGCATATCTCCATTTGCCACCCGCCTTGCACACATAAGTGAAGAGGAAAATACGAGATGTAGTCTCTCTGTGTTGCTAAAGCCTCTGCCTCTCTGCTTGTCAAAACAGCAAAACAACTTCTGTATCACATTTTGTGCTACATCACTTTAACTCCCCTCACTAAAATTCAGGGCTTCTGTCCAACAGTTTGAACAGTGCTGTTAAATACAGTGCTGTATACATACCTGAGATGTGTCAAAGAAAGCAGTAACTAGACATGTAATTATATTAAAATTACAGCTGTGATCACTGCAATGCAAGGAAGACCATAGATGAGGAAACATGACTTTTTTTTAGGGATTATATCCTCTTTGTGTCCTATGTTACAGGTATTTTGCACAAGGTTTTGCGTTATTGTGATTTGTGGAACAATTCTAGCTAGCACCAGGTTTGACGACTTTTACCTGAGGTGGGAGGGGATGGAAGTGATGTGGGGGCGGGGTTGTTTTGCTTGTAAGTTCTTTTTAGGCAAGCTTTTTAGAAAACAAACAATTTGCTTTATCTGCACCTGTAAGGAGCTGTAATGTTTTGGGAAGATGACTTTGAGGTCAGAGCTCACTTGAATACCTCTTCTAATACTAGTCTATGCCAGTCCTTTACGCACAGTAGAAACGCTAGTGCAGGCTTTCTCTTGGTTGTAATTTACCTTAGGAAAACTTCACCTCTATTCTCCCCTTCCTATTTTTTGTTTGACGTCAGAAAGCAAAAGCCAAACTTTGAAGTCCAGACTCATCTTTGGGAGCAGAAGTTTGTTTTGTGGGTTTTTAATTTCTTTCTTTCTTTCTTTTTTCTGCTCCTTTTATGTCTCTCTTAAGTGTCAAGTGGAAGAGCTTGTTACTTATGTCACCTGTCAAAACACTTTCCTGGGCAAGAGCAGAGAATGGAGTTAATTGTCACATGAATGTGCTCAGCTAGCCCTGCGTCAGAAGCCTGAAACACCCATGAGGGTTGTTGTTTGTTGGTTTTTTGTTTTGTTTTTGAGGTTTTTTTTCTTTTAAAGAGATTTGAGAAGGATCAGGGAAAATCTTTCACTAGCTGAGTTATTTGGCTTTGATAATTGGTGAGTAGTGTTACAAAACATTGGCTTTGGAAGCAGCACAAAGCTGTTTCAAGATGCATGCTGTTCGGACTGCCTCCTGTTCTCCTTCCCCCTAATCCAGGTGGGGAGCATTTCTCTAGCCTTTTGAGGTAGGCCAGGGAGTTTCCATTTCTTTCGTTCATCTTTTTGGCCTGTAAGAGAAGTTGAGTCTGAGTAGGAGACACTAGACTCTCTGAAGATGGCATTTGGATGTGATGCTCCTTCTCCTCACCATTTCAGTGGATCCCATTCATATGTAGAAGATGAAACATGTGAAATACTTGACTCTGTCCACTTTTTGCCAGTTTCCACATAGTGCTACGTGATAAAGCAGAAGTTTGGATGGGGCTTACTTTTTTAAAAAAAGAACTTAAAACACTAAATTAATAGTAAAATTTATCTTGGTAAGCTTATATTTCCATTCTCTGAGGGGCTTGTTGCTTCAGAAAGCGAGAATTTTGCATTTCTGGCTCAAACGTTTAGGAAACTAGCTCAGCATCCCTTTGAGCTACAGCACAGCTGGGCTTCCTTTCATGCTCTCCAGACTAACATGCACACTGCAGTCCAAATGCTGGCTCTCTCTCTTGGCCTTGCTGTTCTGCAGTTCAGCTTTTGTTTTAGAGTGCATTGTTTGCAAACGACTAATATATTCTTCTCAGAATATATTAGTGAATATTCTTCGTGAAGATGAATTTTTGTTTCTTTAATGTTAAATGTTTTTTTTTTCCTCCTGTCTTTCAGATAATGAATATGTTTTTATAGACCTGGAGCAGAAGCTGAGCAAATACTTTTCAAAGGAATGGAAGAAAGAGACAAGCAAGGTAAGACAGATGTTTAATTTCAGAGACGACTGCTTTGATGTTGGACTTCTCAGTTAGAAATGGAAACCCTTAAACTAAGGTCCATAAAGCATTTCTTGAATGTGGTCTGCAGAATGCTGTTAGGTAGCAAGGTGCTTTGACTTGCTGGGCATGGTTAATATCTGAGCTAAAATAACATCTCCTATAATTTTGCCTAAGCAATAGTAGTAACATGATTCTTGCTTAATTGCTGCAGGAGAGGAGAAGGTCAATCAGTCTTCTAGTTGAACAAAACCCAGTCTGAAAATCTGGAGACCTCCTGTTGTACATGAGCAAAATAGCCTAAAATGACCATTTGTGTCTTGAACCATCCCACCTCATGTGAGAGAGGGGCCTGGAGCTATAAATGTTTTTAGAGCATATGCAGAAAGACAGTGGAAAGA